TTTACTATTTTTATTTTTTGTTTAAAGGTTTACATTTCAGTTGAGTTGCGCTTACATGCGTAAGCTGGTGTGAGAAAACGCGGGAAAATTTGAACACGGATTGGTTGGCAACCCCCTCGGTGTCATTGTTTGGCGAGTGATTGTTCGCGGGCGGCCAGTATGCCCTGCGCCCTGCTCGCCATCATGATGAGCGACAGGCGGCCGCGGCAACCGCGGTGAGGTCTGGTCCGCCTGTATGGTCCCCGTGCGGCGCGGACGCGCGCCCTGGTCGAGCTCGGGGCGCTGCTGGCCGCTGCCATGGGGCCGGTCGGGACCGCCTCTGAGGGACCAACGGGGACCGCGGCGGGTCACCACTGCTGCTCGGACGGTCGGCTCGGACAATGGGCGCTCCACATGGGCCTGATTGCCACGAGTGTGTACTTCCGCCCAACTCCTGAGCCGCGCTGGGCCGTGTAGCGGCTACGCCGCGGCCGCTGCGCCCGTGTGTCCTGCCTGGCCCGACTGTTCCACTCGGCGCGCCGTGTGTCGCATGTGAGAGATCTGCGGGCTGTATCATTGCAAGTTGCTTGCCTATGGCATGGCCGGCCAATCTCTGCCGGCAGCCTCCCACCTAGCGGTCGCGCAGTCGTGGGGCGCTGTATGGTGCTGTCTCGCGCTATCTGTTCAGAATGGAATGCAATGCAAATCGTAATACCGCCACATCGCCCCCGACCCTGCGCCTCCCCCGGGGGCGGCGCCGCCCCTCTGGTCCGGCCGGGCCGGCTGCTCTACCCCCTGCGCTGCGCGGGGAGTGTCGTGGCGGCGCCGCGGCTCGGGCGTCACTACTCCGCGCCGCTCGGCCCCCGGCGCCCTCTGCCGGCGCGAGGCGCAACGCCACTCCAGCCGGCGGTAGCGCCCGCCCGCGCCGCGGGTCCGCCCGTTAGCCAGTCAAGTTCGCGTAACTCGATCTACGGCGAGCTACGGATTTTGGACCGTTGTTGTATACCTATTACGGTGTATACTACCGTGGTGAGTATGCCGCAACAACTTCCAGCAAGGCCATCCCACCCCGGTTGGCTGTAGTAGGACCCGACGGCTTCGTCGTGCGACGGCCACCATGACCTGCTCCACATTCTACCGCCAGGAGCTGCTCTCCAGTGCGGACCGAAACACGTATCGGTACAACGCACCGGGGGGGACCCCCTGTAAGTGTGGCGACTTCGCAACAACGACAACACCTCTTGAGCCGCATGGAAATAGGGACCGTGGTCGCTACCCGTTCCTTGCGATTGATTGTCTGCCCCCCGGACCTCACGCTCGCGGGACCCGCCCCCGGTCCGGCTCGGGGTGCCGGCGGTATTGCGCGAGGCGGTACCGGGCGCTGCCTGCTTGTCATCTTGGCGTATTGCCCGTGGGAAAAGCGGCAGGGGAGTGGCGTATGGTGCCGCGCGAGTGAGTATGCGAGAGATACGGGGAGACAGAGACAGAGAGACGTGGCGGCTCGGCGGGGTGATGCTGGTCTGGCCCGAGCGGCAGAGGGGGATAACAAGTCCCCAGCAGGCACAGCTAGGCCGCCGCGCCCCGACTCTACGCCGCAACTCCTGCCAAACCTTGGAGCGACACCCCCTTGCCTCCTCCTCCCCCTCCCCCGCCCGCACTTTCACTGAGGACATGCATTATTGTGGCGCGCGATCACATTGTGTGTGACAATGACGTATCGGCCGCGGGTGTATCGCGTCACCGGGGTACTCTGCGCGGGCGGGGCGGGGCGCGCTCACCCTCGCGCTGCTGCGGGTGTTTCGCGTCTCCGGGGCCACTGCTCGGAACAGTACTGTCAGAAAAAAAAAACAGACTAGTTACAAAACCTTCCCAGCCACTTCCGTAGTTAGACTACACCGTCTGCAGGTCAGTTGCCTTCCGGATCATCCATGAAGTACGTCCGTCATTCGCTACCGTTACTAACCTGCCAAGTCCAGCTTTTGCAAGCTCTCATAGCGCCTGCTAGGTAGGCAACATCTTGCCTGCAGGGCATGCATGTTTTGCGGGATGGCCTACCCCAAGTCTCGCAGGCGCCGAGCTCTCGTAATTTGCCGCATGAAAACCGGACGATCCCTTTCCACTCGGGCGCAGGCGCCGGGGGGGTGGGGGAGGGGGGGGGACCGTCCCCCATCGTCTCTAGTGAGCCGCCTGTAAGGTAGGCAATTTGTGCCACAAAACCCCTGTATGCAGGCAACCCACGGTGCATCGCCCCCCCCCCCTGTCGCCCCCCTCTTATACCGCGCGTGCTCGGGCGTTGCACATCCAACCCGCTGACACTCGTGTCTGAAAGGCGGTGCAACTGCAAAACCTACAAAACCTAGTCTTTGTTTTCAGCCCTTCTTAACGACAAAATGCGGACTGGAGGGTTCTTGGTAAAACCTATGCCAACTTGACCAGAATAAAAATCAACTAATTACTAATTGGCCTCTGCTGAACTACTCAACTTTTTGCTAGTGAGTGAGATAAAGCCGAGGGCGAGCCCGCGTGCCTCATCATCCACCCGGTCGAAAGCCGGCTTTATCGCCGGCAGAGGTGAACAAGCTGAGCGCGGCCAGCCGTAGCCGGGCCCGCGGGGCCTCTGGAGCCCTGCATGCACACGTAATGAATGGATATGGAGTAGTGGGGTAGTAGAGTGCGCGCGACGGGTCGGGTCGCGTCGCGGAGCAGAGCGCAGGGAGAATGAAATTTCCTGGACCATCAACTTCGATGGCGTATCGGCTCTGACAAAAGACTTGCCATGCAAGCCAAACCAGAAAGAGCACGGACGAACTCGGGAACGGCGGAGGCGGCATTCCGAGACCGTATTCCCCCTCTCCCACCGCCCCGCCTCTTTCCCTTTTCCACCCGCACCTTCGAAGGCAAATGCGCGCGCGCGCGCGCGTTGCGAAACGGATTCCCGCTGAATAAGGTATCAAGAAATATCATCGCATAAAGTGCATGACTGGGCCGAGCCTGTCGCCGGCTTGTCCGCGGCGCGGGCACGCGCGCCCCGTCGTGGGCGTGGCACCTGAGGCGAGGTGGGGTGGGGCGGGGCGGGGCAGGGCGGTGCGGGTGCCGATGGTAATTTGCAGGTTGTTCCTTTGGCCCTCCCGCCCCGCCCCTGACGCCGTGCCCCGCGACGCTCTTTGCCTTTGAAGTAGCAGCGCCTTACACTCCCGACACTACTCTGCTCCTTGCGGTAGTTAGCGGTAACAGCAGCGCCATGTGAAGGGCCGTGCCCCGTGCTGCGCCGTGGCGTCGAACTCTCTCTGGCGCGGCGCGGCGGGGAGGTGACGCGACGGCAGATGTGGCGGGGGGTCAGAGAGGTCGGGGCTGTAAAAACGTTCTCCGGCGGGGCGTTGGCGCGCGGGCGCGCGCGGGGCTGCGGGCCTCGCGTTAGCTCTCGTGGAAGTGGACTTCCTCAATGGCGCTCGGGGCGGGAGGGTCGCGGAGGGGTGCAGATGGGACGGCATGTCGAGGGTTTGGGTCTAAGGGTCGCGGGCGCGGGCTAGGGCGTGCAACGACCCCCTTCCTTTCCGTTCCTCTCCTGTCGCATCCGTCTGTGATAAAAACGGGTCCTGCGTAAAACCGCGTACGCATTTTCTGCACACCTCGTGCACATTGCGTACACTGCACACCGCCTGCTATGAATGGCTTAAACTGTCTAGTTGGAGGTACTCGCCAACTAACCGCAGTAACAGTCATTCAGT